CCCTTAAAATCTGCAAAATAGACAGGGATGACCACTACACTGCTTTTATTCCACAATATACGAAAGATTCTAGCTAAAAATAGAAATTTAAAGCATTCATAATTGGAATAGAAGGCACAAAACCATCATTAGTCACAGATGATAACTGTGCCTATTTTTGTAGAAGGCAAAGAGAACCACATACAAATTATTTAGAAATAAGAGAATATAGGAAGATGATTGGATGTAAGATTAATATGTAACATGAATTGCATTTTCGTACACCAGAAAAAAATTGAAAGAAACTTAGTGTTTAAAGATACCACTTAAGATGGCCAATTAGAGGCAGCTGCAGTCACAGCACTTGTGCAGACAAAGGAGAGCAGCAAGTGAATTCACCACCTTTGTCTGAAGTACCCAGGTTCTCGCATTGGGACTGACTAGGCAATCAGTTCAACCCACGGAGACGGAAGAAAAGCAGGGTGGGGTGATGGCCCACCGGGAGCAACATGGAGCCAAAGGAACCCCCACCCTTAACCAAGGGAGGCAGTGAGTGATTGTGAGACCCTGCCTGGGAAACCACACTTCTCCCACAGATCTTTGCAACTCGCAGATCAGGAGATCCCCTCATGAGCCTACACCACCAACACCTTGGATTCAATACACAGAGCTGTGTGGACTCTCAGCAGAGCAGCCACTCCAGCACACACAGAAGCTTTACATACCCCGGCCCTGGGATCCCCCACAAGGGGGTAGATCCGTCTGTACATTCCCCTAGGAAGGGGACTGAATCCAGGAAGCCAAGCAGCATCATTCTGCAGGCCCCACTTCCACAGCACCTCTTAAGTTGGGACCTACTGGCTTGGAGTTCCTGCATAGTGGCAGTAGGCTGAGTCTGCCTGAGACTGGAGGGAGTTTCAGGGCCTGGGGGCAGGAGTGGCTGCCATTTCTGCAGTTTGGTCAGCTCAGTATTTCAGCCTGCCAGCTCTGGACAGTCCAGGCAGTCTGGACTAGTCCTCTTCTATGCAGCACACCTGCTTTGTCAGATTGTGCCAGATGGCTTCTTTAAGCAGGACCCTGATCCACTCCTCCTCACTGGGTGGGGCCTCCCTGCTGGAAGCCCTCAGTCACTCCAGCCAGGCTTATATGGACAGATTTCTGATCTCGCCCTAGAATGGAGCTCCTAGGGGGAGAAGTGGCCACCATCTCTGCAGTTGAGTTGAATTGGCTGTTCCAGCCTGCCAGCTCTGGAGAGTCTAGGTGGTCCAGACAAGGGAGGATCCCCACCAACACAGCACACCTGCTCTACCAAAAAGCAGCCAGGCTGCTTCTGTAAGCAGATCCCTGATCCCATTTCTCCTGACTAGGTGAGACCTCCCAACAGGGATCTCCAGACACCTCCTATAGAAGCATTCAGGCCAGCAACAGGTCAGTACCCCCCTGGGATGTAGCTCCCAGAGGAGAAGTGGGCTTTGCTGTTTTGCAGCCTTCAGTGGTGATACCTAAGTTACAGGAAAAGTCAAGGCAACTAGAGTCTGGAGTGGACCCCTAGAAAGCCGCAGCAGCCCTACAGGTGCTAACAGTCAGTGGTCTGACAGTCAAAAGAAAAACAGAAAACAACAACAAAGACCCACAAAAAAACCCACTCAAAGGTCAGCAACCTCAGAAAATCTAAGGTAGCTAAGCCCACAAATAAAGAAAAAATCAATGCAAAAATCCTGAAAACTCAAAAAGCAAGAGTGCCTCTTCTCTTCCAAATGACCAAAATACCTTTCTAGTAATGACACAGAACTGGGCTGAGGCTGAGATGGCTGAATTGATGGAAGAACACTTCAGAAGGTGGGTAATAATGAATTTTGCTGAACTAAAGGAGAATATTGTAACTCAATGCAAAGAAGTCAGGAATCATGATAAAACAACACAGGAGCTGATAACCAGAGCAGCCAGTGTAGAGAGGAACGTAACTGACCTGATGAAACTGTAAAATACAATATGAGAACTTCACAATGCAATCACTAGTATCAATAGCAAAATAAACCAAGCAGAGGAAAGAATCTCAGAGCCTGAAGACTGTCTTTCTGAAATAATACAGGCAGACAAGAGTAGAGAAGAATGAATGAAAAGCAATGAATAAAAACTCTGAGAAATATGGGACTATGTAAAAAGACTGAACCAGCCAGGCACGGTGGCTCATGCCTGTAATCCTAAGACTTTGGGAGGCTGAGATGGGTGGATTGCCTGAGGTCGAGTTCAAGACCAGCCTAGCCAACATGGTGAAACCCTGTCTCTACTAAAAATACAAAAATTAACTGGGCATGGTTGCAGGTGCCTGTTATCCCAGCTACTCTAGAGGCTGAGGCAGGAGAATCGCTTGAACCTGGGGGTGGAGGTTGCAGTAAGCTGAGATTGTGCCACTTTACTCCAGCCTGGGCATAAGTGTGAAACTCCATCTCAAAAAAAAAAAAAAAAAAAAACCTTAAGCTGCAACTGATTGGAGTACCTGAAAGAGATGGAGACAATGGAGTCTAGTTGGAAAACATACTTCAGAATATCATCCAGGAGAACTTCCCCAACCTAGCAAGACATGCCAATATTCAAATTCAGGAAACGCAGAGAACCCCACTAAGATATTCCATGAGAAGTTCAACCCCAAGAAACATAATTATCAGATTCCCCAAGGTCAAAATGAAAGAAAAATGTTAAGGGCAGCCAGAAAGAAAGGCCAGGTCACCTTCAAAGGGAAGTCCATCAGACTAACAGTGAATCTTTCAGCAGAAACCCTACAAGCCAGAAGAGATTGGGGGCCAATATTCAACATTCTTAAAGAAAAGAATTTCCAACCCAGGATTTCATATCTGGCCAAACTAAGCTTCATAAGCAAAGGAGAAATAACATTCTTTTCAGACAAACAAATGCTGAGAGAATTCAACACCACCAGGCCTGTCTTGCAAGAGCTCCTTGCAAGGAAGGAAGGAAGCACTAAATATGGAAAGGAAAACATCACACTTCCAGTTACTACAAAAACACACTGAAGTACACAGACCACTGACACTATGAAGCAACCATATGAACAAGTCTGCAAAATAACCAGCTAGCATCATGATGACAGGATCAAATTCACACATAACAATACTAACCTTAATTGTGAATGCCCCAATTAAAAGACACAGAGTGGCAAGCTGGATAAAGAGCCAAGACCCATTAGCATGCTGTCTTCAAGAGACCTATCTCACATGCAAAGACACACATAGGTTCAAAATAAAGGGATGGAGGAAAATTTACCAGGCAAATGGAAAACAGAAAAAAGCAGGGGTTGCAATCCTAGTTTCTGAGAAATCAGACTTTAAACCAACAAAAATTTTAAAAGGACAAAGAAGGACACTATATAATGGTAAAGGGCTCAATTTAAGAAGAGCTAACTACCCCAAATATATGAACCCAATGCAGGAGCACCCAGATTCATAAAACAAGTTCTTTTTAAAAAAATATATTATTATTATTATTATTATTATTATACTTTTAAGTTCTGGAGTACATGTGCAGATCTTGCAGGATTGTTACATAGGTGTACACATGCCATGGTGGTTTGCTGACCCCATCTCCCTGTCACCTACATTAGGTATTTCTCCTAATGTTATCCCTCCCCTTAAAAATATCTTTTTTTTTTTTTGAGACAGAATCTTGCTCTGTCGCCCAGGCTGGAGTGCAATGATGCAATCTCAACTCACTGCAACCACCACCTCCCAGGTTCAAGCAATTCTCCTGCTTCAGCCTCTTAAGTAGCTGGGATTACAGGCACATGCCACCATGCCCAGCTAATTTTTATATTTTCAGTAGAGACGGGGTTTCGCCATGTTGGTCAGGCTGCTCTTGAACTCCTGACCTCATGATTTTTGGATAATTTGATAAACTGACTAAAATTTATATGAAAAGGCAAAATCCTAAGATAAACAAAGTTCAAGAGATTAAGTGTGGCTTTGGAGTGGGGATATAGAGTGGGGTGAAATAAAGAGCTCAGAAGCAACCCACATAATTAAGCAAAGTTATTTTGCAGTTGAATAGAAGAGGAACTCATTAATAAATGGGTCTGGGACCACTGAAAAATGAAAAAGGATCCTTATGTTATACCTTACCAAAATATCAACATCAGGTGGATTTCCAGTGTAAATGTAAGCCAAAATTTCAAAACTTTTAGAAGAAAACAAATCCAAGATGTCCCCATGTTCCTAGATAACATAGTGCAGTGTGAATAAGAACAAAAACTCTGAAGCCAAGTTCAAATCTTGTCTCTACCACATAATAAATGAGGGACCTTGTTCATGTAACCTAATCTCTGTCTCCATTTCATCTGTGAATGATGGTAATAATTGTCCCTACTTCACAGGGTATATATGATGAAGTATATACAAATTACTTAAAAATAGCACCTGGGTCGGGGCACAGTGGCTCACACCTGTAATCCCCAAACTTTGGGAGGCCAAGGCAGGCGGATCACCTGAGGTCAGGAGTTCAAGACCAGCCTGGCCAACATGGGGAAATCCCATCTCTACTAAACGTGCAAAAAAATTAGCTAGGCGTGGTGGCGCATGCCCATAATCCCAGCTACTCAGGAGGCTGAGGCAGAGAATTGCTTGAACCTGGGAGGCAGAGGTTGCAGTGAGCTGAGATCATGCCATTGCACTCCAGCCTGGAGGACAAGAGTGAGACTTCGTCTCAGAAAAAAAGAAAAATAGCACCTGGAATGAAGTAGTACAATGCGTTATAACTAACCCTGTTACTCTTATTATAGTGCTTATTACACTGTTTCTCTTGTACCATGATTAGTTTCTTCTCTGTATAGAAGGTCAAAAAGAGAAAGGAAGAAATCCTTTTTTAATTCTTTGCTCCGATGATTCTACCCTTCATGATTAAATATATGCAGAAGCTCTGATCCTTAAGTTTCTATTGCTTCTAGATGAACATGGGACTCACTATCAAGGGTCTAATCAGTTTGAGACCTTCAGCTTCATGGCTGGGTACCCAAGCACTCATTGTTCAACTCAACAGCTAGTAATGTCCAGTCCTGGCCCTTGGGGTAGGTGGGCTCAACCCTCTCAAGTATCAAGCCCAAAATATAACATCAGGTGATACCACAACTATCCTGCCTGCTGCTTGCTGCACCATGAAGTCTGCCAAGCTGGGATTTCTTCTAGGGCTCTTCATCTTCTGCTCACTGAATACCCTATTACTGGGTGGTATTGATAACATTGTTGAGAAGATATGTGGAGACCTCAAAGGTATGATGTTAAGGCAGAAAATAAATCTGAAGGTCAATTATGAATGAGGGAAAAGGTGCTGGGGGAAAAGTGTGTTATCTAGGTGATCCAGGAAGGTCTTCCTTTCATGGCAATACCCATAGACACTTAATCCCTTGGCTCAGGGCATTACCTACACTAGGGGTATTTTGGGTGTTTGATGAGAAAAAAAAAAAACAGAAATGACACAAAGTCCTTTCCAGATGGAGACCTCTTTTAGAGGAGGTTCAAAGGACTGGAAGGATTTTGAATCAGGTTTTGTTAAAAATTTCAAAGATCCCAGACCATTGAAGAGTATGTATTGGGATGAGACAGAAAGGGGGTTGGGGACTGAGAAAATTAAGACATTTTCAGTAACTGGGCTATGGGCATATACAGAAACCTTGGACAGATGATTCCTGTTTAGAGGGGCTCACAGTGTAAATGTGAGAGGCAATGAGACTTTCTTCCATAGACAGTGTGGGCAGGCTCAGCGCTTCCAGGGGACAAGAAAGTGGCACAGTGTCCACAATAAGTCAGACACTCCAAATTCTGGCCCTGTGACATAGCAAATGTGTGCCTTGGACAAGTCACTCAACCACATATTATGCTCTTAGTCTCAGTTTCCCCATGTGTACAATGAAAATCAGAAAAGTACCTGCTGCAGAGGGTATTTGTGACTGTGAAATAAGATTATGCGTATAACTTTACCAGAGAGTAAATTCCAGACTGGCTGCCTGAGTAAGGTGGGTTGTGTTGTCAATACAACCATGACTGTGGCTGTTCCAAACACTTACTACCCAACTCCCAACAATAAAAGCAGAGGGTTTAGCTCGGGGAAGGCAAGAAGGGAGAAGATGGCAGGGTGTGAGGATGAAAGAGCATCACCCCAAGGTCATGAATTTTAGCATTTTAGTAAACATCCTGCTTTGACGATAGCAGCGGGCATGGTTACCTAAATTTGGAAGTATACATATATAGTGAATGTATGAAAACTAGGGAGGAGGCATTCTGAATTGCATGTCCTATGTGGGCAATTAAAAGGAAAGGAAGATGATGTGAAGAAGCAGGAGGATACTGTACTTTAATAAACTGTCAGATATAAAATGTAGGGAACCTCATCACCCTGCACAAGCTAGTGGTGCAACCTCCTTTCTCACTGATTGCAACTTCTCGTTTTTCCGGACATTGCTCACCACAACAACCTGGAATTGTAACAATTTGCATTGTGCAAAGGCAATCTTGCCAAGTAACTCTAATTCCAAGAGAAAACCAGATGTCCTTGAATATGAGACACATGAAAAACAACAGTCCATAAATATGAGAATACTCTCAGGCTAAAGCTAGGAATTTTTAAGGGCCCAGAAAGATAAGTTATCCTGCTGAGTCCTAACCAATTCCCACTAACTCAATGGGAACCTCTCATGCAGATCCCTGCAAATTGGAAATGAAGGCTGGAAGCTGCTATGAAGTTCACTTTAGATTTTTCTACAACAGAACCTCCAAACGATGTGAAAGTTTTGTCTTCTCTGGCTGTAACGGCAACCTTAACAACTTCAAGCTTAAATTAGAATGTGAACTAGCCTGTGTTGGAACAGTCAAACCACAGTAAGGAATCTAATCCTGTCCTTGGTCCTTCGGGGGAGTAAAAGAAGAGGTGTTGACATCCTAAGATAAAGAAAATTGATCCGGGGCTAACCTTGCTTTGGATGGGAAGATAGAGGACTGCTCTAATAAAAAGTTTTAACGGTTGGGTTGGCCGGGCATGGTGACTCACACCAATAATCCCAGCACTTTGGGAGGCTGAGGCGGGTAGATCACCTGAGGTTGGGAGTTCAAGACCAGCCTGACCAACATGGTGAAACCCTGTCTCTACTAAAAATACAAAATTAGCCAGGCATGATGGCACATGTCTGTAATCCCAGCTACTCAGGAGGCTGAGGCAGGAGAATCGCTTGAACTGGGGAGGCAGAGGTTGCAGTGAGCCCAGATGGCACCATTGCACTCCAGCCTGGGCAACAAGAGCAAAACTCTGTCCCAAAAAACAAAGTTGGGTGGGCTGTCAGGATCATTTGCTCATTTTACAGTCAGAAAATCAAATGACCAGAGAGAAACTAATAGCCACCATCTATTGGACAATTACTGTGCATCAGGCACTGCACTAAGCAATTGACATATATTGATATAATTTTAAATTATATCAAGGTGGATTTATATCACCATTTTTATGTGACAGATGAAGAAACCAAGCACAGTACAAGTAACCAAGCATCCTGAGGTCACATTATTAAATGGCATACCAACGTTTCTAACCAGAGCTGTAAGTCACAATGGTCATGACCATCTTACGTGTACAAGGTCACCCAAACCAAATTCTTGCACTCTCATACCTTTGAACTCTCCATAGCAACTTGCTGCTTTATACAACTAAGTTCCCCCCCACACTTGACTATTTCCCCATCGTTGGAAATAGAAGGTCAATGGTGCCTAATAGGGCTGTGGTTTGGCTGATTCCCAGGAGAATTCGCTGGAGAGTGGCCTTAGGGGTAACTCAAAAGCAGAAATGTTGTTTTGCTTTGTTTATTTTATATTCCTAGTGGATCTTTGCAGTGCCTGGCACATAGTAAGCAATGATTAAGTTTTAAGTGAATGAAAAAGTGAGAGATTAATCAATAAAATAAGGAAAACATTGAGATAGAAGGCATCCTCTGTGCTTTCCCTAGGATAAAAATGACCTACATTGGGCCGAGTGCGGTGGCTCACGCCTATAATCTCAGCACTTTGGGAGGCTGAGGCGGGCAGATCATGAGGTCAGGAGTTCAAGACCAGCCTGGCCAACATAGTGAAACCCCGTCTCTGAAAAAAAAAAAATAATAAAAATAAAAAAAATAAAAAAAAGACCTACATTAATCCAGGGAGACCTTCCAAAACCTATAACACAGATTTGTATTTTTCTTAAACAGGAGTTGAGAAGATGTGAACTCATGAAGTTGTCTGATACACCATCCAAAATAAAGATGCAAGAAAATTCAGACCAATCTTGAAATCTTTGTAATATTTTGATAATCCTTTAAGCTTCCATCTGTTTGCTATTTTCCTGACCTGGGTTTTGTCTTTCCCGGAAAATAACTGTATGGTCATTAGAATGAGTCTTTGTGTCAGCCCTGGCTCTCTTAGTTTCTCTCCACTTGTCTTATCTAAATTTGCAGAGCTGAAATGTCAGCTGGTCCCATCCATTGGTTCCCCCCTCACTCCTGAGCCATCCCTCACATATGCACACTTAGCTTAATTTATCCTAAACTGTTTCAGGTTTGACGAACCAAATCTGTACAGGTTTGCATCACCGCCCCTGTCAAATTGAACTAGTTAGTGGAACCAAAGTACCAAACCTACATCCCTTTGGATCTTGAAATCAAACCTAGCAGTGAACCACACACTTATGTGAAATGTCCCTGCACTCATAACAAATTTTTCTGTGTCATATTTCCTGTTCAAGTCCCTCAATTAGTTTAATGATCTCCCAACCTGGTCCCTGTTTAGGAGTAATTATATGGGCCTCTGTCATTGCTATTTGACTCAGTTATTGACAGTCCTTCTGGAAAAGTAATCCTCAACTTCAATCCAGTGACTGTGTTTCAGCTACCAAAACATGATCATCCAAACAGGGGTTCCCACATCTTCTTCATATAATGCTACAAGGTTTGGCATGACCACGATCAGCCCAGCTGTGAGATTTACGGTATGACCATTTCACCTCTGAATTTTTTCAGACATCCCAGCTGATCCTGCACTGAAGTCAAAAAGCCTATCCTGGCACCTGTTATTACCCTCTGCATACCTGCCATGTCCATATTACAGTCAAAGTCCAATCCCTCACCTGTGAATCACAACCTGGAACACTGGTAGCTAGGGCCGACATTGTAAACCAGTGAGACCATAACTAGACAAACAAGCCTGATCTCTGCTCCATCTTCAGACTAAGAAAATCAATGCCTTAAATTAAGATGCTTTTCTGCAAAAAATTTTGTTAACTACAAGATCGTACCCTCAACCAAACAGGGTTTACTCTGAGCAGGTAAGTGCTAATAACCCAGTTGATTCTGGCATATTTCAACTTCGGTGAAGACTCTAAAATTATAGATCACTCTTGAGCCCGGCCAGCCGCAAGACCCTAAAATAACAGAGATGAGACTAATCCAATTAGTCCACATACATGCAAGTTCTGAGATTTTCCTGTTAGGAATCATGAAACTGGGTGTCCCAGAAGCAGACAGTCTTTCAGGGACAAGATATCATATTCCGGGAGCCTGTTTGCTTCCTACTTCACCCAACTCCTTGAAAAGTCAAGAAGTAAAAAGGAGGTGTACAGATATGAATAAAGTCAAGACTAAGAAACCTCTAAGGAAAGAAGGCAATTGTATCCTGTGAGAAAAGGAAACAGATGCCCAGTACAGATTGCTGAGCACCAAAGATGGGATAATGATTGAATAAGAGCTTTTGAGGCTTTTGATTTGTGTTACTCTCCCTACCCCAAAGATCTGGATCAGTCATTGCCTGCTCTCTTGCCAAATCACTAACAGCCACAAGATACCACAGGACTGTTTGAGATAACATAATGGTCGTTCCAGAGTTCAGCTAGAGTGAGACGTATAAAAACAGGTGCAGCTGAGCTAGCCAGACACAGAGTTTACTGTTTTCCCTTCCTCCTACATACACTAAGGTTTACGTGACTAAAACTAAGAGGAAGAAAGATTCATCTAGGACCTAAGTGTAGATATTTTCTCTGGTTGGAGGTTGGGGGAGGAAGATAGGGAAATAACGTTATTTAGGAAGAAGCAAATGGGAGTAAGAAAGCCCAGGTTGTATTATTGTAAAGTCTCTTCTCTGGAATTATCTACCACCACCATCCTTGAATCTACCAAGAGCAGCACAAGTTAAAAGACCTGGACTTTGGGGAGCTAAGCTATTAGGGTGCAAAGGCATAAGAATGAGGCTGGGTGCAGTGGCTCATGCCTGCAATCCCAGCACTTTGGGAGGCCAAGATGGGTAGATCACCTGAGGTCAAGAGTTCAAGACTAGCCTGGACAACATGGTGAAACCCTGTCTCTATTAAAAATACAAAAATTAGCTGGGCATGGTGGCAGGCACCTGTAATCCCAGCTACTTGGGAGGCTGAGGAAGAGAATTCTTAAACGCTTAAACCTAGGAAGCAGAGGTGTTAGGTGCATATACATTTACAATTGTTATATTATCTTGCTAACCTGAGACATTTATTATTATATAATGTCCTCCTTTGTCTACAGCTTTTTACATGAAGTCTGTTTTGTCTGATATAAGTAGATCTATTCTTTACTTTTGTTTCCCTTGGCATGGATTATCTTTTTTCATTCCTTCACTTCAGTGTATGTGTCTTTACAGCTGAGGTGAGTTTCTTATAGGCACCATATAGTTGGGATTTGTTTTTTATCCATTCAACCAGTCTAAACCTTTTAAATGGGAAATTTAATTAATTTACATTCAAGATTATTATTGATAGGTGAGGACTTAGTCTTGTCATTTTGTTGATTGTTTTCTGGTTCTTTTGTATTTCCTTTGTCCCTTACTTTCTCTCTTATTGTTTATTTTTACAGGTGAGAGGTTTTCTGTAGTGGTAAGATTTGATTCTCTTTCTCCTCTGTGTATTGGCTCTACTAGTGAGTTTTATCATTTTATGTTTCCATGATGATGGTTATTGTCTTTTCACTTCCCTTGAGCAGTTCATGTAAGGCCAGTCTAGTCATAGTAAATTCTTAGTTTTTGCTTTTCTGTGTAAGAGCTTATTTCTCCTTTTTTTTTTTTTTTTGACAGAGTCTCACTCTGTGACCTAGTCTTGAGTGCACTGGCACAGTCATGGCTCACTATGCAGCCTCAACCTCCTGGACTCAACCAGTTCTCTTACCCAGCCTTTCGGCTAGCTGGGACTACAGGCAAACGCCACCATGCCCAGATAATTTTTTCTATTTCGCTATAGACAGGATCTCACATGTTGCTTAGGCTGGTCTTAAACTCCTGGGCTCAAGTGATCCACCTCAGCCTCCCAAAGTATTAGGATTACAGGCATGAACCTTGACACTCAGCCTGTCCTTCATTTCTGAAGGAAGCTTTTCTTGGTATTATATTCTTAATTGGCAGGGTTTTTTTTTTCTTTCAGTACTTTAAATACATCATACCATTCTCTCTTGGCCTGTAAGGTTTATGCTAAGAAATCTGATAGTCTAATGGAGATTCATAGCTAATGGAGATTCCCTTACACGTGACTTAATGCTTTTCTCTTGCTGCTTTTAAAATTCTTTCTTTGTCTTTAACTTTTGACAGGTTGATATGATGTGCCTCAGAGAGGACATGTTTGGACTGACTCAACTTGGGGTTCTTTGAGCTTCCTGGACCTGAATGTCCATCTCTCCCAAGACTTGGGTAGTTTTCTGATATTATTTTATTAAATATGTTTTCCTCACCTTTTCCCTTTTCATCTCTTCCTGAAACACCCATAATACACATATTTGTGCACTTAATGAAAAATGGAATTCCACAAATCCTGTAGGCTTTCTTCATTCTTTTTTCCTTGTCTTTTCTTATTTTAATCTGCCTATGTTATTTCAAAAGTCCTCTCTTCAAGTTCAGAAATTTTTTCTTCTGCTCGGGCTAGTCTGTTGTTGAAGTTCTCAATTGTATTTTTTATTTCATTCACTGAATTCTTTAGCTCTAAGTTTATTTGGCTCTTTTTATGACATCTATCTCTTTGTTGAATTTCTCATTCAAATAATGAATTCTGTTCCTAATTTTGTTGACTCATCTATCTGTATTTGCTTATATCTCACTTAGTTTCCTTAAAATTATTATTTTGAATTCTTTTTTAGCATGTCATATATTTCCTTATGATTAGGAGCTTTTACTGGAGAATAATTGTTTTCCTTTTGAGGTGAAATATTTCCTTGCTTTTCATGGTTGATGTGTCCTTACATTGATTTCTATATATCTGATAGAAAAATTGCCTCTTACAATTTTATAGAGTAGGTTTCATAGGGAAAGACTTACGCATTTGAATGGGTGTTGGTTCAATGGAGTTCATTAGCCTTGGTTCTAGGTGGATGAAGTAGGATAGTACCACTTAGTTTCTTCTACCTTAACTCACATTAATAGTGTTTGTAAGTTTCTCAGTGGCCTAGAGTTTGTGATAAGAGTGGTGAGCTTTGCCAGACATGGGCTTTCTAGGCTGTTTCTCAGGTCAGGAGTGCATGTGTGCACATGGTGGGCCAGCCAACTTGGGGTTGGGATCACAGAGCTGTTGTTCTGGCTGAGTGCAAGGGCACACAGTTGCTCAGCCAACCTGGAGGTGTGCCCACCAGGAGTAACCCACAGGGCTGTTTCTCAAGCCCAGGATATGGGTGTACAGCTACTTGTAAAGAAGTCTTTACTGAAAGAACAAATCACCTAGCTGACATATGGAGTGATTCCCTTCAAGCATAGTAACAAATCAGTGTCTTAGCAAACTAGACAGTCAGAAGGTAGAAGTCCCTCTTGTTAAACTTATACAAAATTTCCAGCCTCAAATTCCTTGAAAAAAATGTTCTGATATTTCCTTTATGATATGGCCAGACCCTTATCCACTGCCCAAAAAATCTATGACCATTGCCCCTACCACATGAAATGAATGAAGACAAGTTCATTTGGGTTTGTTTGGGCTGTTAGAACAAAATACAGTAGACTGGATGGCTTATAAGCAATAGAAATTTCTCACAGTTCTGAAGACTGAGAAGTCTAAGATCAAAGTGCCAGCAGATTTGAGCTCTTGTAAGACCTCTTTCTTAGTTCTTAAATGGCAACTTCTCCCTGTGCTCTCACATGGTAGAAGGGGTGAACAAACTCACTTGGGCTCATTTTAGAAGGGCACTAATATCATTACTTAGGGCTCTGACCTCATGACATAATCACCTCCCAAAAAGTCCCATCTCCTAATACTAGCATCTTGGAGTTAGGATTTTAACATATGTATTTCGGGGGATACAAACATTCAGAGCATCAAACTAAGAGTCTAGAGTTTAAATATTCTCACCACAAAAAAACTACATGAGGTGATAAATTAATTATTTTGATCATGGTAATCACTTCACAATGTGTATACATATGTATGTGTGTATATAGTGTGTATATATATATATATA